ACTGGGTTGTTCAGTTTTTTCTTGTGAGTTGTATGAGTTCTTGATATGTTTTTGAAATCAACCCCTTGTCGCATATATGATTTGTAATTATTTTCTCCCGGTTGGTGGGTTTTCTTTTCCTTTTGTTGATGGTTTCCTTTGCTGTGCAGAAGCTTTTTAGTTTGATGTAGTCCCATTTGTTTATTTTTTTCTTTTGTTTTCTTTTCTTGAGTAGACATGGTATTCAGAAAGATACTGCTAAGACTGATGTGAAAGAGCGTACTGCCTCTATTTTCTTCTAAGAGTTTTATTGTTTCAGGTCTTACAGTCAAGTCTTTAATCCATTTTGAGTTAACTTTTGTGTATGGTGTATGGTAATGGTCTACTTTCATTCTTTTGCACTTGGCTGTCTAGTTTTCCCAGCACCATTTAGTGAAGAGACTTTCCTTTGTCCATTGTATGTTCTTGGCTCCTTTATCAAGGATTAGCTGTCTACAGATGTGTGGTTTTATTTCTGGGCTCTTAATTCTGTTCCATTGATCTGTGTTTCTATTTTTCTGCCAGTACCATACTGTTTTGATTATTATAGCTTTGTACTATAATTTGAATTCAGAAAATATGATACCTTCATCTTTGTTCTTGCTTTTCCAGGATTGTTTTGGTTATTCAGGTTCTTTTCTTGTTCCATATAAATTTTAGGATTTTTTGTTCCATTTCCATGAAGATTGTCATTGGGATTCTGATTTGGATTGCATTGAACCTGTAGATTGCTTTAGGTAATATGGACATTTTAATTATGTCAATTCTTCCAATCCATGAGCCTGGAATATCTTTCCATTTCTTTATGTCTTTGATTTCTTTCAATAATTTCTTATAGTTTTTGGTGTATAGGTCTTGCACCTCCTTGGTTAAATTTATACTTAAGTATTTTACTCTTTTTGTTGTGATTATAAATGGGATTGTATTCTTGATTTCTGTTTCTACTAGTTCATTATTATTGTATAGAAATGCAACTGACTTTTGTATGTTGATTTTGGGCCCTGCAAATTCACTGTATTCATTAATTATTTCTAATAGTTTTTTGGTGGATTCTTTAGAGTTTTCTATATATAGAATCATGTCATCCACACATAATGAGAGTTTTACTTCTTCCTTTCCAATTTGGATCCCTTTTATTTCTTTTTCTTGCCTAATTTCTCTGGCTAAAACTTTCAGTAGTATGTCGTATAAGAGTGGTGAGAGTGGACATTCTTGTTTTGTTCCTATTCTCAGAGGGATGACTTTCAGTTTTTCACTGTTGAGTATGATGTTGACTGTGGGTATGTCATATATGGCCTTTATTATGTTGAAGTACTTTCCTTCCATATCCATTTTATTCAGAGTTTTTATTGTAAGTGGATGTGGGATCTTGTCAAATGTTTTCTCTGCATCTATTGAGATGATCACATGATTTTTATTCATTATTTTGTTAATGTGGTGTATCGCTTTCACTGATTTGCTGATGTTGAACCATCCCCAATCCCTGGAATAAGTCCCAGTTGATCGTGGTGTATGATCCTTTTAACGTATTGTTGTATTTGATTTGCTAATATTTTGTTAAGAATATTTGCATCTATATTCATTAGTGATATTGGCCTGTAAGTTTCCTTTTTTGTTTTGTCCTTTTCTGGTTTTAGTATCAGGGTAATGTTGGCCTCATAAAATGAGTTAGGAAGTGTCTCATCCTCTTCAATTTTCTGGAAAAGTTTGAGAAGGATAGGAATTGAGTCTTCTTTGAATGTTTGGTAGAATTCACCTGAGAGCCTTCTGGTCCTGGACTTTTGTTTTTTGGGAGATTTTTGATTACTGTTTCAATCTCTTTGCTTGTGATTGGTCTATTTGGATTCTATGTTTCTTCTTGAAACATAGAGGTTTGGGAGGTTGTATGATTCTATGAATTTATGCATTTTTTTCTAGATTATCCAGTTTGTTTGCATATAGCTTTTCATAGTATTCTCTTATAATCCTTTGTATTTCTGTGGTGTCTGTTGTAATTTTTCCGCTTTCATTTCTGATTTTATTTATTTGATTCTTCTCTCTTTTTTTCTTAGTGAGTCTGGCTAAGGGTTTGTCCATTTTGTTTATCATCTCAGAGAACCAGCCCTCAATCTTTTCTATTTTTTTGTCTCTATTGTGTTTATTTCTGCTGTGATTTTTATTATTTCTTGCCTTCTACTGACTTTGGGCTTTACTTGTTATCCTTTTTCTAGTCCTTTTATTTATATAGTAAGCTTGTTTATTTGAGATTCTTCTTCTTTGTTGAGGTAGGCTTGTATTGCTATAAATTTTCCTCTTAGTATCACATTTGCTACATCCCATATGAGTTGGTATTTTATCTTTTCATTTTAATTGGTCTCTAGGTATTTTTTTGATTTCTCCATTGACCCAATATTTGTTCAGTAGGATGTTGTTTCGTCTCCACACATTTGTGGCTTTCCCAGCTATTTTCTTGGAGTTGATTTCTAGTTTCATAGCATTATGGTAGGAAAAGCTGCCTGATATATTTCAATCTTCTTAAATGTATTGAGGCTTGCTTTGTTTCCCAACATAAGTTCTATCTTTGTGAGTGTTACACATGCATTTGAGAAGAATGTGTGTTCTGCTGTTTTTGGATGGAGTGTTCTATATATATCTATTAAGTCCATCTGGTCTAATTTTTTGTTTAATTCCACTATTTCCTTGTTGGCTTTCTGTCTGGATGATCTATCCATTGATGTAAGTGGGGTGTTGAGGTCCCCTACTATTTTGTGTTGCTGTTAATTTCTCCCTTTAGGTCTGTTATTAGTTGCTTTATATACTCTGGTGCTCCTATGTTAGATGCATATATATTAATGAATAGTATGTCTTCTTGGTGGAATGTCCCTTTTATCATTATGTAATGCTCTTCTTTGTCTCTTGTGTCCACTCTTTCTTAGCCTGTAGATTTTCTGCTGAGAAATCTGCTTAAAGCTTGATCAGGATTCCTTTGTAGGTAATTTTCTTCTCTCTTGCTACTCTTAATATTTTTTCTTTGTCATTTTCTTTTGACAGTTTTAATATTATATGCATTCGAGGAAGTATTTTTGCATTGAGATAATTAGGAGTTCTTTAGCTTCATTTGCTTGCATGTCCAGTTCCTTCCTGGTTTGGGCGGTTCTCAGCTATTATTTCTTTGAATAAGCTCTCGTCTCCTTTCCCCCTCTTTTCTCCCTCTGGGATTTGTTTAATCCTTATGTCACTTTTTGTAATTGAGTGATATTTCTTGAAGAATTTCTTCATTTTTTTAAAAATCTTTGTTCTCTCTCCTCCTCCACCTGAATCATTTGTAGGTTTCTATCTTCAAGCTCACTAATTCTCTCTTTCATAAGATCTGCTCTATTTTTAATGATTTGTTTGTTATTTTTTATCTCATTGTGTTTTTCATTTCCAGAATTTCTGGTTTTTTTTTTTTTTTTTTTTTTTTTTTTAGAGTTTCAGTCTCTTTGGTGAAGTACTCCTTCTGTTCATTAATTTTTTTTCTGGAGCTCATTGAACTGCTTTCTGAGTTTTCTTGTAACTCGTTGAGTTTCTTCATGATAGCTATTTTGAATTCTCTGTCAGTTAGATTGTAATCTTCTGTAACTTCAAGTTAGTTTTCTGGAGAGTTTTCATCCTCTTTCTGTTCTTCTGTGTCATTGTAGTTCTTCATGGTTCTTGATGAGTTGATCCTCTGCCAGCACATTTGTTATAGTAACCACCTTTCTTATTTGGATAAGGCTTTGGTTACTTTGGTTCTGAACTGCTTCTGGTTGTATTTGAGAGCTTGCACTTTCCACCCTCCACTGCCTCTTCTAGAGGCATCATCAGTACCCTCCTTGTGCTGCCTGTGCCTTGCTGCTTACAATGTCACTGTACTCAGTTGACACAACTGAGGTCACCAGGCTGTGAGCACTTCTGCTGCTTCTGAGTTCGCCTGGATATTATGTTCCTCCACTGGCTCCGTGGACTCAGATGCTGCTGCCCCATGCACCAGCTCTCCTGGTGCGCCCAGTTTGTCTGGGGCTGCTTGTTGCACCATGCCAAGTTTTCTGGGTTCGTGGATGTTGCTGTTGCTGCTGGGGGCCCAGAGACCCAGGGACTTGTATTCATTCCCCTATTACGTAAAGTTGGTGTGGGGGTGCCACCACTGGGGGCTGGGTCACCAGTTCTGCAGCTGTTCCCAATGCCTTTGGTCACTGGTTCAACCTGCCTCTGTCCACCATGATGCTGATGTAACTCAATTGTCATATAATTTTATAACATCATTGAAACTTTGTATAATAAATTTAAAAATCATTGACCAAAATTAAATACATTTTTCTGGCCATAGCACCATCAGTTTTTTCATTCATTTTCTCCTTAGTTTAGGTTCCTAGGTGAATACTCTGTGAGCAAGTTAAATTTGTTTCTTTGTCAGATAGTATCCTAACCCAGGCTGCCATCTGGTTAATGCGTAAAATGTTCAGGTGTTGCCTATGTTGTCATGGAAAGGGCCCTCCAGAGGCAGACAGACCACCTGCCTTCTAATTTCAGCTCTTCCAGGTAGCTCTGGGACATGGAGCTAAATTTTTCTTTGTAGAATGATTGTAAATATTTGTTTGATGAGAGGTGAGAAAGCATCTCGTTCATTGCCCATAGTAGCGCTCATTGCTTAAGGAGACTCTCTTAGGTGTACAACTAAGTAACTTTAAGTCTTACAGGCCTTGGGTAGAACAGGTCAGAGTGTTCAGGGATTGAAGATAAAACATATCCCATGTCTTAAAGTAAGATTGCACTAAGGTTCACTCCTTCCTCTTTAATATGTGGTTTTACTTGCTCAAATCTTCTACTGAAGGTCTGATCTTTTGTTTGGCTTCATTAAGTGCAAGTTGTTACCTGCCAGAAGCACTTCCCTATGCTTTTCTTCAATCTGCCCTAACAGAGACGAAGAAATCAATCAAAGGGCAGCAGTGTTGACCATTTCTCCTGTTTCCCTTCCGTTGCAGATTATTCCTCAGCTGTTCAGAAATTTTCCCAGACGCTTCAGTCCTTTCAGTTTGATTTCATTGGAGACACTCTGACTGATGACGAGATTAACATTGGTAAGTCTTCAGCTACGTATGAGCATGTGCCTCTCATTGCAGGTCTGAGATGATGTAGCCTCCTTGGTTGTGGATACAGAGAACTTGGGCATCTTTATCCCCTGTAGTCCAGTGCCAAGCTCCTGGGAGACTGCTTAAGCAGGATAAAGAAACATTCCCTTACAGTCCCAATTCCTCCTCACACAAAAGCAATCCAAAGATATCCCTTAAACTTCTGTTGAGGCCTTTGACTCAGTCAATCTGCAAGGCAATTTTTCTCTAAATAATCTAATACATGAACATTTTTTGCAAAGTATAAATTAAAGAGTGATTTTGTTTAGTTTCCAGAATGATTCAGAGTAATATTTTTCTAAGGAACAAATTCCCCCAGAAAGTTTAAAATTGGATTTATGTATGTACAGTTTTTCAGGCAACAGGAGATTTGGCATTTCCCTTGGGAACTGAATTTAACAACTCACTCTATGGGCTGTGTGATCTTGAACAAGATATTTCCTCTCTCTGAGCCTTAGTCTTGTTTCTGTAAAATGTGGTTAGTATCTATCTCTCAAGGATGTTACAAAGAGGAGATTGAACAGCATACTTAAGTAAAAAGAACTTTGTGTTAGTTGTTACAAAGTTGATGTGGTGTCAGCAAACTATGACCCTTTGGCCAAATCTTGCCCATACCATTTTTGTAAATAAAATTTTGTTGGAATATAGCCACACTTATTTAATAAAGCACACTTAGGTGCTTTAGTGGTACAACAGTAGCATTGAGTAGTGGCGGAGACTGGATAGCTTGCATAGCCTAAAGTATTTGCCTTCTGGCCATTTAAGAAAAAAGCTTGGTGATCACTGAGTTAAAGAGTTAGTGCAAAGCATTTGCTAGATGAGAACACTGAACCACAGAACTATTGTGAATGATCTAATTTCACTGAAACAAGTTAGTGACAGAATCATATTTATGAACTCAAGAACTAAAATATAAAAATGTATTATTATATATTCATTGTAGTAAATATAAATAATATATAAAAGAATAAAATTACCTATGATAATAAGATATCCTGGCACAGAAGCAATATATTGGAAGTATTGGCATATTATCTTTTAATCTCTTTTTAACATGTATCTGTTTCATGTGTGTGCAATTTAGTTCAGACTAAATACATAATTTTATCTTTTTAACCTAACATTTTACTGTAAGGATTTTCTCATGCCATTTAAAATTCTTTGTAAATTTCATGAGGGGCAAGGACATTGTTTTGTTCACTGCTGTTTCCCTAGCAGATAGAGGAGTGCCTAGCATGTAGTTGATGCTCAATACATGTTTGCTGAATGGATGAATAATGGAAGCATTCGAATTTCATTATTATGGGAGCCATACTTTATATAATATTCAACTCTTGTTGGAAATTTAGCTTATTTCCAATTTTTTATTATTATAAATAATACTGCAATGAAAACTTTTTTGGAATTAAGATTGGTAACTATTTATTTTGGTTAAATGTGGTGGTATAACTAGTGAGGCAGACATTTGCATTTGGATTATTTCTTTATTCACTCCATTCTACTTCTGCAAATCTATTTTAGTCTAAGGGCATGACTTATTTGAAAGTTAATATTATGGGTTCTGAAGTCAGACAGCCCAAGTTTGGACACTAGCTTTGCAACTTATTGGCTGTATAATCTAAGCAAGTGACTTCACCTCTCTGAGTGTTCATTTTTCTAATCTGTAAAATGGAGATGAGGTGATCAATGCCAAGTGTGCTCAGTGCCTGAATAAATGTTAGCTATTTAATAATTATTGTTTCTTTTGTAGACCAGAGCCTGCTGTTTATTTTCAATGAGTGTATTCATTTTCCTTATTCCCTTCTCAGTTGACATTTTGTTTCCTTTTTAGTACATGCTGGTGCTATTTCCACCTGTCTTTTAGTGTCCTCTCTCTTCCTTTTGTTTTTCTAGCACTAATTTTTTTTTTTTTGAGGAAGACTAGCCCTGAGCTAACATCCGTTGCCAGTCTTCCTCTTTTTGCTGAGGAAGATTGGCTCTGGGCTAGCATCCGTGCCCATCTTCTTCTACTTTATGTGTGGGACCCCTGCCACAGGATGACTTGATAAGTGGTGCCAGGTCCATGCCTGGGATCCAAACCCGCGAACCCCAGGCCACCAAAGTGGAGTGTGCAAACTTAAGCACTATGCCAGTGGGCCGGCCCCTATCTTCCTTTTTTTTAAGATTTTTTTTATTGTGGTCACATTGGTTTATAACATTATATAAATTTCAGTTATACATGATTATATTTCCATTTCTGTGTAGATGACATTATGTTCACTACCCAAAGACTAATTACAATCTGTCACCACACACATATGCCTAATCATCCCTTTTGCCCTCCTACCCCCTCCCTTCCCCTCTGGTAACTACCAATCCAATCTCTGTCTCTCTGTGATTGTTTGTTGCTGGTTTTATCTTGTACTTATGAGTGAGATCATATGGTATTTGACTTTCTCCCTCTGACTTATTTCATTTAGCATAATACTCTCAAGGTCCATCCATGTTGTCACAAGTGGCTGGATTTCATAGTTTCTTATGGCTAAGTAGTATTCCATTGTGTATATATACCACATCTTCTTCATCCATTCGTCTCTTGATGAGCACCTAGGTTGCTTCCAAGTCTTGGCTATTGTGAAGAATGCTGCAATGAACATAAGGGTGCATGTATCTTTACGCATTGGTGTTTTCATGTTCTTTGGATAAATACCCAGCAGTGGAATAGCGGGATCATATGGTAGTTCTATTCTTAATTTTTTGAGGGATCTCCATACTATTTTGCATAGTGGCTGCACCAGTCTGCACTCCCATCAGCAGTGTATGAGAGTTATCTTCTCTCTACATCCTCTCCAACACTTGTTTCCTGTCTTATTTATTATAGCCATTCTGATGGGCATGAAGTGATATCTCATTGTAGTTTGGATTTGCCTTTTCCAGGTAGTTAATGATGTTGAACAACTTTTCGTGTGCCTGTTGGCCATCTGTATATCTTCTTTGGAGAAATGTCTGTTCAGATGTTTTGCCCATTTTTTAATTGGGTTATTAGTTTTTTTGTTGTTGAGATGTATGAGTTCTTTATATATTTTGGAGATTAACCCCTTATCAGATATATGGTTTGCAAATATCTTCTCCCAACGTTAGGTGTTTTCATTTTCTTGATAGTTTCTTTTGCTGTGCAGAAACATTTTAGTTGATGTAGTCTCATTTGATTATTTCTTCTTTTGTTTGCTTTGCCTGAGGAGACATTCAAAAAGATACTGCTATGACCAGTGTCCAAGAGCATACTGCCTAAGTTTTCTTTTAGGACTTTTATGGTTTCAGGTGTTACATTCAAATCTTTAATCCATTTTCAGTTAATATTTGTGTATGGTGTAAGATAATGGTCCACTTTCGTCCTTTTGCACATGGCTGTCCAGTTTTCCCAGCACCACATATTGAAGAGAATTTCTTTTCTCCATTGTATGTTCTTGGCTTCCTTGTCGAAAATTAGCTGTCCATAGATGTGGGGGTTTATTTTTGGGCTCTTGATTCTGTTCCATTGATCTGTGTGTCTGTTTTTGTGCCAGTACCATGCTGTTTTGGTTACTATAGCTTTGTAGTATATTTTGAAGTCAGGGAGTGTGATACCTCCACCTGTGTTCTTCTTTCTCATGATCTTTGGCTATTTGGGTCTTTTGTTGTTCCATATAAATTTTAGGATTCTTTGTTCGATTTCAGTGAAAAATCTCATTGTAACTTTTATAGTGATTGCATTGAATCTGTAGATTGATTTAGGAGGTATGGATATTTTAACTATGTTAATTCTTCCAGTCCAAGAGCATGCAATATCTTTCCCTTTGATTGTGTCTTCCTCTATTTCTTTCAACAATGTTTTATATTTTCTAGGTTACAGGTCTTTCACCTCTGTGATTAGATTTATTTCTAGGTATTTTATTCTTTTTGTTACAATTGTTAATGGGATTGTATTCTTAACTTCTCTTTCTGCTACTTCATTGTTAGTGTATAGAAACACACCTGATTTGTATCTGATTTGTATATTGATTTTTTTATCCTGGAAATTTGTCATATACATTTATTATTTCTAAAAGTTTTTTGGTGGATTCTTTAGGGTTTTCTATATGTAAAATAATGTCATCTGCAAATAGTGACAGTTTCACTTCTTCCTTTCCAATTTGGATCCCTTTTATTTCTTT